AAGAAGAAGAAGAAGAAGAAGAAGAAGAAGAAGAAGAAGAAGAAGAAGAAGAAGAAGAAGAAGAAGAAGAAGAAGAAGAAGGAGGAGGAGGAGGAGGAGGAGGAGGGAGAGAGGAGAGGAGAAGAGGAGGAGAAGAAGAGAGAAAGAAACAGATCTCTCTTCTTTTTGGGAGCTGATCACTAGACCATTTTCTCCCAGAGCTTCTGGATGGGTTTCAACCACCAATGTTTTGTTTAGCAGCCCAGGGCTCAACTAGTCTAGCACCAGGATTCCTTTCAAGGTAAAGATTGCCTTGGTCTATAATCCAGGGGGGTTACATTTGGAATCAGTATACACTGCTTTATCTACAAAACAGGGAGCTCTGATAGCCTAGTGGTTAAAGAGTTTTGCTCCCGACCTAAAGGCAAGCCGTTTGAGCTCACCAGCTGCTCTGAGGGAGGAGGACTGGCAAACGCCTCCCATCTGATTTATAATCTCTGAAAACCCGCTGGAGGGTCCTGACTTGAAGGCACTTATCAACAAACAACATTATCTACAAAATGAGTTTGTTTTTCTTTTTCCTTACTCTCCACTGAAGGCAAAGCTCAACTAAAACTCATTACTGCTAAGTTAGTTCTGACCCATCACGACCCTTTTTTTCAGTTTCTGAGGCTGTAAATCTTAACCGGAGGAAACTGCACATCAATTCTGAATCCAAGGCAGTGAATTATGAGTTAACGCCATTTTAGCTGCCCTAGTAGTATATGGTTAAGCATTTAGTTATGAACCAAAAGGTGGGTTGTTCGAGGCCACCAGTGGCTCCAGGGGAGAAAAGACCTACTTCCATACGATCAAAGCCTAAGGAAGACTGTGAGGCAGTTCTGCTTTTTTCCTTTGGTGTTACTATGAGCGGGAATCGACTTAAAGGCACTGACAACAACAGCATGGCCATTTTCAAGTGCAAGGTTAGAATAGGTTTGTCCCTTTTCCATGTCTGGCTGCCAAGATAAAACAAAACACAACCAAACAAAAGCCCAAAACAACATAACTCGAAGTAAAGAAAATTCTATGCTTCCCTGGATATCAACAATGCTTAGCAGTTGCAAACCTTAAAATCATGAAGTTACACAGAGCCTGTAATTTAAACTTTTATTTCATATCTATTGTTAAATTACACAAAACCAGTGAAGGAAGGATTTGTAAAGCTACACCATGGGACAGATGTTTACAGTTGAAACCATGGGATTTACATGATAATGACAAAAATGTGTATTTATAACATCCCCTATATACAATAATCAGTATAGACAGAGAAAATGCACGTAATCTCTGCAAACCATGCACACCACAGCAATAACACAAAACGCCTTCCCCCCCACCCAGAACAAGCATTTTTGGGCTTCGTCCTGCTTTCCAGCAGTCCCCATATCCATCTGAAGATCACATATTTTTTAATTAAAAGGAAACAAAATTGAAATACCATAAGGATATACAGAATCTTTATTTTTTTTTTTAAAAAAACACACTGTACACAAAATATTTCACTTGAATACTCTTTGACTTCAAGGCGTGTGTGATTTTTTTTTTTTAAATTCCCTTCCAGTTTTCTCAGTTCTCAAAATTCCCTGGCACTGCAAGACTATCTGACACAACAAAAAGTAACTGCGCTGATGTAGTCACAGCATTAAGGAAATCTAGCTTCTTCTCCAGCTCGTGGCCATATCATTACAGATGAAACTAGGTCATGCAAGTGAGCGGATTGTACAAGATGTGACTTCAAAGTCACATCACTAAGCATGTCCTTCCTGATAACAGAAATGTCCCTTCCTGTCACCTGGTTTGAGTGATAGCCAGGAGTGGGTAGTGTAAATCTGTCTTAAAGTGGAGCAACACCTATAAAATGGAAACTTTCCCTAGTTAAGGATACAAACATGACAAAGATACTACATATTATTTTTTTACCTTGCTCAATTCACAATTTAAAATCTGAAAGTATCTTTGCTTAGACTTACACTACCAAATCAGCTCTTATGTTCATGCTACATATTCTCACTGCAGAATAAATACATGTTACTTTTGTCCTTCTGTCAAGTAAAAATCTGGCAGAAGGCTAAATCAAAAAAACTGAGGTACAGCTTTTAGTCGTCTTGAGGAACTCTGGCTAGTCTAATGCTTGTTTATTCTACAGTGTTGCACTTGTAACTGTTTACAATCTGCCCACAGGAAAAACGAATTGATGCACTTGATACAGCCAGCTCAACTGGAAGTATTACAATAAAGATGTACAAAAAAAGGTAAATAACAAGATCATGTTCAGATCCCCAAGGTGACCTGATCAAGAAGAAATTCATCAATCTTTTAAGACATGTTGTCCCATTCAAGCGTTTCTTGATATGGACCTCACTACACAAACATTGATAAGACAAGTGTCTAGAAAGAGGTTCCTGACTTTAATTCAGGATTATATACCACAATAAATTCAGCAACACACCATTCAGATGATGAAGGAAGGTTCTAGAAAGAGGTTAATTTGGAATGAGCACAAATCGGAAAAGCCTTAAAATGAATGAGAAGCAGTGCCCAAAAGATTCCAGGATTGTTGAAATTACAGTGCCCTAAAAGTGTCTGGAAATTAGATCTTAATCTTGGTAGTCCACTTTGAAAAAAAAGAAGTATTTAGCTTCATATGAGATACACCCTGTTCAAAACCTTTAAACAGCAGAAGATAGAAAAAGTTTAAAATTTCAAATATCTTAAAATAACAAGATCTGAATCTCATTCTACTTTGAAAAGTCAGTATTTTGGCATAAAACAACCCCTGTTTGGGAGATATATTGTTCACTGTTTATAGAGTTCTGTAAATTTTGTCATTAGCTGTTATGCTGCTTCTTTAACTATCCAGTTAAAAATCAGAAGAAAAGGAAAAGTTTTGTATTTCCTCTAATCTATTTTATGTTTCTGTTCATGCGTACCCCTGGGGTTGGGGGATCTGTTTGCTTTGAAAATTGAGTTTTAACAGTGTATCATGAATACTTTAAAATTGTAGCCCTCAAGTTCACTTGTTAAGTTTCTCAGTCATAACTTAAATGGTCACATTTTAGGTTTTCCTTTTCATTGTAACTAATTAAAGAATTTCTGAAAATAGCTAAAGAGCGATTTCTGGTGAATCTGGATTGGCTTTTGGATTTCATAAATAGTCCCCCAAACAAACAAAAAAAAAAGAGAGAGAGAGACAATTTAACTACATACTGAGATTCATTTTACCCACGCACAGTATAACATTTAATTGAAAGGCAACTGTAAAGGCAACCTCTTAACTTTTTTTTTTTAACTTCCCCAAATGAAGAAAGCAGAACTCCTCTTTTAAGATTTGCCATATTCTCACTGGCGTTTTGGGAGGGGTGTGGAGAACCCTCTCTGAAGCCTTTAACGCCATTTCTCCACACTGCCTATGTAGTCGCTGGTGCCATTGCTGGCACTGCTGTCACCCTGCTCATGGCCCAGGCTCTGCTTCTGCCTTTCCTGGTTCTCCTTCACGCTCGAGCTCTGAGTCAGATTCTGAATCCCATTCTGCGTCAGATTCTGATTAGGATTGGGATTGGGATTGGGATTCTGACTCTGATTCTGGCTCTGACTCTGACCTTGAACCTGACCCTGACTCTGCCCCAGGAAATGGGTCTGAAGGAACCTTCCCTTCAGAAACTTGCGCTGTTCCTGACGCTTCCGCCTGGCCTCCTGATGCTCCTTCTGCCTCATAAACTGATACCTTTGCAGAAAGAGATCTTTCGCATAGCTGTACAGCTCCATATCTAGAAAATTCAGTCCCTCGATACGCTTTTGGATTTCCTCATTGATCTCTACACTCGAGGCCCTGGTGGTATTATATTGGGTAAACGGCGAGATAAAGTTCATGTTAAAGGTCTTCTCAAAGAGATACTGGGTCTTCCGCTGAAACTCGGTGAGGCCAAAGAACGCCATGTGCTTCAGATTGGTCTTCGCACTTTCCAGAAGGACCTTGTTTCTTTGCTTTTCGGGCATGACGGAGAGGTTGTAGCAGCCTACGAGGGTCAGGTCGGAGAGCATGCGCACCTGGCGGTTGTTGGCTAGGTTATAGGGACAGTCCATGAACTCTTTGAGGGGGCAGCCTGACCAGTCATCACCGGTGTAGCAGCTGGGCAGCTCCTCGGAGGTTGGGGGCCTTCCATCGCAGACATGCAGGGAGGCCTTCCACGTGGCCCCTCTCTGCACATGCCTCCACTCGCTCAGGTAACGGGACACTGGGTCTCGCAGGATGGTGATATAGTGGAAGTTCCTGTGGACAAATCACAAAGACCAAGAGTCAGGAAAGCAGGGGATCTCGGTGCAGGTAGGGAGGGCCATGGCACATGAGAGACTCGCTGAGCAGTAAGGAAGACAGATGGGCAAGGATGGATCTCTGGTGCCATTTGTCCTGTGAACTGTGCTGGACCCCTGTTTCTTCCCCACTCGTCTGGCCAGATAGCTGCTTCTTTCGATACTGATACTGCAGTTAGCACAAATATGAAAACATGAAGCCCAGGCTTCATAATCCCTGTCTGTCTTCATTCCACTGTTCCCCTTCCCCTCTTACTCTCCCCTTCCAAGCAATGACTGAATCCTCCCAGCACCCTTGGTGGCGGAAGTAGTCCATCATGCTCTTCCGCACTCTTAAAACTCCCATCAATTGATCATGCAATGGAGGCTTGGTGGACGCAAGTGGGATCGAAGTGATATGGAGTTGATAACGGCATCACTCCCCCCCCCCCCCCGCTGATACCCAGTGAGTCCAGATACTTGAAGAACAACAACAAACAAACAAAACAATCAAAAGAAAGAGTGGCTGCCAGGAAGCTTTTGATTTGGGCTGCTGGCATCACATCCCAGTTCAGACGTTATGGGAGTGGAATGCAGCGCTAGATAGGCCAAGCAGCCCCAGGCCTCCAGAAATAAACCCTGTGGTTAGTCACCGACTGAAGCAGATGCAGGAGCTGCCATTGGCATGTATGTAAGATCTGTCACCTTGGCTTTCAGTCCTTATTCACAGGAGAAGATCCCTAGAGCAGGCAAGTTAGCTCAATCAGCTGCCAGGAGCTCCCTTCCAGTACCTACTCACAGGGCACCTGGATGCTGGCAAGTGGGGAAGCCTTTGCTGTGTAGCTGTCTTTTCTTTTGAGCTGTGAGCAGAGAAAGTTCCGTGCCCAATTAGCGAGCTAGTAAATATTTAAACCATATGCCCACGTGTTAACTCACATACAGAGCATGGCTCAATGTGCGTGCATAGCATTCAGGTCTATGATGGGATCAGGCACGTTCAAGGGAAGAAACAACCCTGGAGTTGAGTCTTTAGTAGAAAATGAGTTTGCACACGGGTCCAGCGGATGAAGGATGGGGACGAGAAAGAGCATACTGAGAGAAGAAACTATGTTATGCTAATTGACCTTGATGACCCCCTAAACTATGGTCCCAAGGTCCAAGAACCAGACACTCCTTCCCACAGAGTGTTTGGTTATGATTAAGCAGCTTATCAAACATTGCCCTCTGTTGACTCTGCTGTACACATGGATGAATTTACAGCATATACTAATATGTTAATTTTTTTAAATGTTATTATTTTTAGATCTGACTGGTGTAGGATGAGATTGCCCCTTCTTCTCCAGCAGAGAACCTGGTGGATTTGAACCACGTACCTCTGGGATTGCAAAGCATATACTACTATGAATGTAGGAATAAGTACAAACCTATGCATACCTAAGATATGTATGTGACCATCTAAGGTGTATGTAGTCTTCCCACCTATCCATATCTGTTTGTCTTTCCTGTCTGTCCATATGTCTGCTGTTGACTGTCTTTCTTCTGCACCTCTCTTTGTCTTTGCTTTCCATATTGGTATTGTGCTGAAATCCCCTTATTGCCTTTCTTGTCACAGATTTTAATGTTTGTATTCTGTAACTTCTTTGCTTATTTCATGAATAGGAAACAGGAAAGAAGGAGTTGGGGACTGAGTCTTTATATAAAAACTAGATGATCTGGGCCAATTGGCAGTATCATGATAGATGGTGAAGAGATTGAGATTGTTAACAGCTTCAGCTTGCTTGACTCTACAATCAACACTTTTGGTACCAGAGGCCAGGAAATAAAAAGACAAATTACATTGGGAAATTCTGCTGTCAGGGACCTCGCCAAAGTACTAAAGAGCAATGATGTCACTCTGGAGACTAAGGTGCGCTTGATCCAGGCCATGGTCTTTCCAATCACTTGCTATTCATTAGAGAGCTGGACAATGACTAGGGAGGATCTAAGGAGAGCTGATGCCTTTGAGTGGTGGTGCTGGAGAAGAGTATTGAATATACCATGGACTGCTAGGAAAACAAACAGGTTCATCCTGGAGAGGGTGAGCCAGGCTGCTAGTTGGAGGCAAGGATTCTGAAGCTCCGTCTGACATACTTTGGACATGTTGCAAGGTGGGATCAGTCCCTGGAGAAGGGCGTCATGCTTGGGAGGGTGGAGGGACAGCACAAGAGTGGAAGACCCTTGATGAAATGGAAGTAGGGAAAGAAAAAGTACATTGTGAGTACTGACATTAATGTCATAGAACAAATTGTGCATGAGTGGTTGAAGAAAAAAAATCATTTCCTTTTTACCGTACCTAAAAGCACAACAGAAATGTGTGTGGAGGGGGAAAAAAAATCAAAGATACAAAAAGTAATTAAAAGTTCTCATTTTGTTATGTGCCGTAGAATCACTTGCAACTCATAGCGACCCTTTGTACAACAGCCCTAAACTCTGCTCTGTCCTGTGCCAATCGCACCGTCTCTGACACTCCCATCCCGATTACCCCAGTCACTGAATCATAGTGGGTCTTCCCCTCCTGCACCGTTTCTCCACCCTCCCAAGCATGATGTCCCTCTCCAAGGATTTGTCCCTCCTTGAATTGGAAAGTTCTCAATATAAACCAAAAATATATTGCCCAACTTTGCTTCCTGGTAACCTTTATTTGCAAAAGTAGTTATTAGACCAAGGAGCTCGCTCTTTCTCCTCCTGGTTTTGGTATTCAGTCAGTCAGTCCATATTTATTGAGCTTTTCTTGCTAGGCCTGAGGTGACAGCTTAGTGGCAATTAGTTTGATTATTTGGGGAAAAAAGAAACACATTAAGTGCAGTGACACATTTGGATTAACTTTCCACCACTTCCCCCTGCCCCCCTCTGCAGTGTAATGGAGAAGCTGCGTGTTTCAAACCTTCCTTGTGGAGTCACCTTCATGCTTAACTGACAGGCTGCACCAGATGTGCTCTTCTGCTCTAAGCCTACAGCGACATCTTCTGGTAGTAAATCCTAGAGTGTGTCACAGTGCAAGTCTGAGCCCTCCTTCCCGTACACTTGTCTTGCAGAGCAGGGCCAGGTTCAGTATCAAAGTTTTGTAAGCATCTTCTGAGAATCTCCACTGTTAGGGATGTAGGAATCCAGAGCACTTACAATCTAAAGGGCTCCTTGTGACCTTATCACGAGAGTGCCTGCACGAGGACAGGCTCCATGTCTACACTGTAGGGATTTTCAGTGCTACAGTGAAATAAGAGGGGTCTGCACACATGTGTCTGAGTGAATCCGTTTGCAGTTCATTGGTGTATGGTTTGTTCTGTATAGCCTTCAGGATTTCAGTACAGCTTCTTGCCACTAGGCCACCAGAACTAACTCTCTCTCTCTCCGCCCCCACTCCTGTATATGTTGTTATTGCTATGTGCCTTTAAGTCACCTGTGACTCATAGCGACCCTATTCCAACAACCCTGAACCGTGCCCTGTCCTGAGGTAGTCTCACTAATTCTGACACACCAGCACCCCCCCCCATTGCCCCAGTTACTGTGCCAATCCATCTCCTCCAGGGTATCCTTCTCCTGTGCTGTTCCTCCACCCTTCCAAGCATAATGTCCTTCTCCAAGGACCGGTCTCTCCTGGCTGCGTGCCCAAAGTAAGTGCGACAGAGCTTCAAACTCCTTGCCTTCAAGGAGAAGCTTGGTTTCACCCTCTCCAAGACAGACCCATTTGTTTCCTTGGTGGTCCATGGTATGTTCACGACTCTTCTCCAGCACCACAACTTGAAGGCATCAATTCTTCTGTCATCCTTAGTCACTCATTGTTCAGCTCTCTGAATCATAACAACACACACACACACACACACACACACACACAC